GTTCGTATGTTGGCGTATGTTCATTACCGTGAAACGACCCTCAAAAACATTAAAAATTTTCTGCAATATGCTTTCCCTTTCTTTAGAGTACATATGCATGTGATCATTTTTGTACTCTCTGCTTACAAAGCGGGAGTGTATATGTTATTCTGTATGTCCGTCCGTCTGAACGTCCGTCCGTCTGTAACGCTTTAAGGTACCCATCTCATCTGCATCTCCTCTCCTACCATTGGATGAAATTTGGTGAAACTCTTACAGAATCTCAATTACATATTGCCATTGTGCTCCTCTTATTTTACTTTTCCATTGGATACATATTTTGGGTTTCCTATAGCAAAATATGGACACTGCCATTATATTCGTATAGGAGGAGGGGGATATCATTTAGTGAGCTCGTTGCTTACAGTACCTCTAGTAAAAATCTATGTATTTTATTGATCAGTCTAACTAGAACCCGTTTCTACTATTTCACTTCCCACAAAGTGGAGTTGAATATCGATCAGTCTGACTAAAACCAGTTCCTACTATTTCACTTCTAACAAAGAGGAATGGCAGTTGCTGGCTTTAGTAAGACTGTTTCATTGATAAAATTACGTGTTAAGAAAAATTACACCTGAGTAGAAAAACTAAACATATAGTGACAACGGACTTTTTACTTATGAATTGCGATTTCTTAAAGCCTGTTATCAAGAATAGGCTGTCAGTTGCCTAACACATGTAAAATTAAGTTTTTCTCTATATTTTAAAATAAAAAGACTATTTTGATAAAATTTACAAAAGAACTATTTAATTTTCAAGCTGGCGATCATGACTTCACACATGAGTATTTGATTGCCAACCAAAACTTCTCAAAATATATTGTGGATATCACATACATTGATCTTTATATGAAATACTGAATGTTTTATCTCTTCCCCAGAATTAAAAGGAGTATTCGTTCGGGCCACAATGGTTGATCAAAGTTTTACATAGGAATTCGAGGGGGTATCAAAAAATTCGTGGACTAGCGCCATGGAATTAAAACCGCTTTAGGTACATCAATGCATTTTTAAATAAAAAGTAAAATTTTTCTATCCATGGAATAGAACTTAAATCATATTTTTTAAATAACTTAGTAATGTAATGTTTTATTAGCAATGGTATATCCAGGCGGCGCAACCACAATCACGACGTTTTTTTTTACCGCAACGTAACTGAAAATTATTTTTGATATGAACATTTGACATCCAAAAATCACATTAATTCAGGTATGTCTTGAATTTTGTTCCATAAAAAAGGGAATTTTTACCTCATTCTGGAAGTTCTTTATAATCTTATCCTAAATTTTAGATGAAGTCTCCAAACGAAATAGGCTTTGAAAATGACTCCAAAAGGGGGAGAGGTTTCCTTTCCAACTTTCTAAAAAGTTTTACCCGTGAAAAAACTGATATAAACTCAGGAAGTCTTAAACTTGCTTTACGGAGAAATGATATGCATCCAGATGGCTTGATTTTATACCACAAAAGTTTCAAAGAGAAAAGGGATTAACAGTTAATGTCGATATGTAGTCAAGGTGTGAAAAATATATTGGGTCAAAAATGACATTGATCATGGTGTTGTAGATATTGAACTCCAAAAAACAAAATATGCTGGCACAGTCAATCGATGATCTCTCTTAATGTATACATACAGCATATAGAATATTATTTGCATTGAAAGCCAATGTTCATGACATTGTAAAGTCCTGTAAATAAGAGGAGCTTGAGTCCTTACTCAGTTCCAGAGAATCTAATCAAAGTGAGTGTATAAGGCAGAATGAGCGGACATTAAAATACAACGACGTTGTCAGACGTCAAAAAATTCAACGGCGACGGCGCCAGGTGATCATATAATATCGTTTTTATTTTATAATTAACTTAACTCAAATAATGAACGTATCAAGTTAAAATGTTCAACATTTCTTTATTTTTTGTTGTTTTATGTTCCTTTTGAATTTTGAAATCACGGACCATATAGTATTAATTGAATAGCCTCAGTCCACGAACTTTTTGATAGCGTTTCGTATATAGGAAAAATCTATAAAAATCTTCTCAAGAACCATTGAGACAGGAAAGATGAAACTCATGTGCATGTGATATCATCCTCAGGTAGTGTATAGTTAAGTTTGTTCGAATCCCCCGGGGGTAGGGTGGGGCCAAAATGGACGATGAACTTTTTACATAAGAATATATAGGAAAATCTTTTAAAATCTTCTTATCTAGAACTTCACAGCCATGATTAGTGACATTTATATGGAAGCCTCCTCAGGTAGTGTAGATTCTAGTTTGTTCAAATCATGACCCCCGGGGATAGGGTGGGGTCACAATGGCTGTTAAAAGTTTTACCTAGGAATAGAAAGGAAAAATCTTTAAAAACTATATCTATCAAGAACCATTGAATCAGAAAAGATGACACTCTCCACTGAAGACCCATCTTTTTCTTTTGTCCTCGGGTTTCTATTGACAACGTTCCAGTAACTTTGACAAGTGTACATTGAAATATTACCTCTCTAAAAATATATGTAGATATATTTGAAAAAAAAAATGTGAACTGTTATCGCTGGATAATTTCCCGGCTGGATTAACATCTTTCAAAATAAAAATATATATTATAGAGAACAAGATGTGTTTGTGAAAAACCCCCGTATGGCAACATAGGGGATTTAAACTTTTCTTAAATGTAAATTTCATATATTGGTACCAAAGTAGGGTTTCCTCACTGGAAATATTGTGAAAATGAAAGTAGGCCAAGGTTATTTTTTTAACATAAAAAAGCAAATCTTCAAGGTCCAGGTCAAAAGGTCAAAGTAATTGTTATACAATGAAAGGTCTTGTTAAAAAGAATACATATGTGAAGTATGGAAGCCCTTACCGTTCAAAAGTTATGCCCAAGGTTAATTCTTTTAAAAGTAGGTCAAACGTCAAAGGGTCACTGTTCTTGAAATCAAATGAAAGGTCCTTTCACAATTACTGGTATGTAATCCTTGTGAGAAGACCCTTTATTGGATACCAAGAACTTTGACCTTTTGACCTTGGGGTTTGACCTTGGAGTTGACCTATATTTTTTTTTTACATATTTTACCTTGGCCATAACTTTAGAAAAACTAATGCTAGGGCTTCCATACTTCATATATACATATTTTTTTGTTACAATACTTTTGTTGGATATGAATTACCTCGACCTCTTGACCTCTTAGATTTCCTTACTTATGAAGAAACTTAAACCTTGGCCTACTTTCATATTGTATTTCTAGTGAAAATACCCTACTTTGGTTATCTATATTTTAAATTTACATTTAAGAAAAGTTTAATCTGCGCTGTGTTGTCATACGTGAGCATCAGTGTTTTACAAACACATCTTGTTTTTCTTATATAGGTTGCCACAAATTACGCCATTCACTTGACATTTTTAAAGCAAAACAGTTTGCTTTATATAGTTTTTCTTCATGTACGGCAGAAAAATTAATTTTTATGCCCCCGTAAACGAAGTTTCTCTCTGTCTGTCTGTCTGTCTGTCTGTCTCTCTGTTTGTCCGCAAAAACTTTAACCTTGCCCATAACTTTTGATTTAGTGGAGCTGTGACTTTCATACTTAATATGTGTATTCCTTGTGACAAGACGTTTCTTTGAGTACCACCAAATTTGACCTTTTGACCTTGACCTTGGAGTTTGACACACTTTTACATGAAAATTTGAAACTTTTACTTTGGCCATATCTTTTGAACAGTAGACACCAGGACATTTATACTTCACATATGTAATGTTTGTTAAAAGACCTTTCACAGGATACCAACAACCTTGACCCTTTGACCTTGACCTTGTAGATTTCCGTACTTGTCAAAAAACTTTAACCTTGGCCATAACTTTTGGGCTTTTATACTTCATATATGTAATTCTTGTGAGAAGACCCTTTATTGGATACCAAGAACTTTGACCCTTTGACCTTGACCTTTGAGATTGACCTACTTTAAAAAAGCAAACCTTGACCATACCTTTTAAAGAGTTAGGACTAGTGCTTTCATACTTTACATATTTGATCCTCATGACAAGACTTTTCATTTGATAACAATAACTTTGACTTTTTGACCTTGGAGTTTGACCTATTTCTTAAGAAATTGAACGTTGACCATAACTTCTGAATGGTTAGGACTAGGGCTTCTATGCTCTGCATAAGTATTTTATGTGGCAAGACCTTTCATTTGATACTAATTACATTGACCTTTTGACCTTCACCTTGGAGATTTTTTGTACTTATTAAAAAACTTTAACATTAGCTTACTTTCAAATTTCAAATTTTTTTTCCAGCGAGAAAACCCTACTTTTGGTACCAATTAATTAAATTTGCATTTAAGAAAAGCTTAATCTTTGCTTTGTTGCCATACGGGGGCATCAGTGTTTTACAAACACATCTTGTTTTGTTATGAAACATATTGAAATGTTAATTTCTAAAAATGTAGAATAAATTTAATGAATACATTACTACTAAATACATGTACTTCTGCAAGCAATATTTTCCCCAACCGTCGAAAAATTGAACCCTACAAACTAAAATATGAAATTTTACAGTTTTTTCGCTTTATGCATTTGTCAATATTTCCAAGCTCTTATGATGTCTTATGTCCTGTAAGTTTACAATATTAGGTATCTCATATAAAGAAATTGAAAAGCTATATAATGATGCACACAATTTCCCATAGGTGTATTTAGTAACTTTCTTATGTAGATCATTTTAATATACTTTATTCATGTCGGGTCCGTTTATGCCTGAACTCTCAGGGACAATGAAAAAAAAAATCTTATTCATTATAGAACATACACGATTAACACATTTTTTTTGGGTAAAGAGATTTTTAAACTTCTACACAACAATCTCAAATTCTAAATATATAAAAGGTGCAATTACAATATGCTTTTTAATTTTTGCTATAAGCTTATAAATGCTTCATTTAAATTATCGATTTGATCTACCTCTTTAGGTGGAACAATGAACTTGACAGTTTTTGAAGTGCTTAGTAACGGGCAGATAAAGGAAAAGTATTCAACAACGGGCAGGGACTGGGATGGTTCCTTCTTGTTCAAAGAATTCTACAAATTTTTAGAGGAACTTTTCGGGGAAGATACCATGCAATCCTTCAAATCAAAAGAGCCAACAGAATTCTTAGAAATGCGAAAGGATTTTGATATTCAGTCACGCTTCATCGACACAAGCCGGAAAACAGTTAGTTTTCGGCTTCCTCCATCATTATTTGAAATGGTTGATGCTATTCGAAAAGAAACGGTTCAAGATTTGATCAAATCTGTTGCAAGAATGTACAACAGCCGAATTTCTTGCTATGGAAACAAACTTAAAGTTTGTGCATCTATGTGTACAAATTTTTTTCACCCTGTCAAACACAGTATATACAGTAATTTGCGAAGAGTTTTGACGCACCCGGGTGTCCAACAAGTAGATTTAGTTCTACTTGTTGGTGGATTCTCTGAGTCAGCGTTCCTTATAGATGCTATAAAGAAAGAGTTTCGAAACCATAGAATTACAACTCCTGAAAATCCAATGCTCTCGGTATTGATAGGTGCAGCAATTTATGGTCACGATCCTTCTATTATTCGACAAAACATTGCCAAACTCACGTATGGGTGTGTAGAAGTGTACAACGAACAAAGATTTTCAGCAAAGGAAATCCCTTTAAGTAGCGGCAAATTTGATCGTCTAATAGAGATCGGCCAGACTTTGAAGATAGGAAGAACACAACTCTTCAGAAAGTACAAACCGGATCCTGGTTCCAAAAGTATATCCATCTACTTCTACGGTTCCAAAATGGCAAATCCAAATTATGTGAATGACAAAGGTTGTTTTTATCTTGGAAGTGTTGCTCTAAAATTCCCTAAACATGAAAAAGAAATAGGTGAGATAAGATTGGAAGTTGCATTCACTGGGTCAGCGATCAATGCAAGTCTGATAAACATTTCCTCTGGCTACACTGAGAAGTCTTCGATAAACACAAGGTACAATCCATCTTGGGTTATTGTAAAAAAAAGTCCCTACTGTCATGTCCTCCCATTTGTGACCTTTTTATACATAAACGCAAACCACTTGATTGATCACGTCATGAAACAAAGAAATTATTAGATATTTATTCATTTAATAGTTATTTTTATCAAACACAATTCTTTAGTTAAAGAAAAAATAAATTAATTAAATGTGTATATGATTTCCCTTCACATAAGTTATTAGATATTCGTATGATTGCTTCACTCATAGCAAATTTTTATACTTGAACCATCTTATTTTGAAATATTTTTTTTTTTCATTTTCTTTGAAAAATTCCATAAAAAAAAAATGAAATAATCAAATCAAATTTATTCGGACTGATAGAATATGCCTAGGACTGGTAGAACGCATTAAGTCATCAGTCCGAATGACTGATACAAATATTTGGTCTTCGGAAACTCTGCCGCTCAGGTAATTATTGTTAGTAAGTCACTTAAAGACCGCTCAGGTAATTATTGTAAGGAAGTCACATAAAGACCGCTCAAGTAATTATTAAAGATATGAAGATAACAAACAGTATCCAATCTCCAAGGCCATAAAACAATACAAAATAAGAGCAGAGCAAACACGGACCTCTGGAACATCAGAGGTTAGATCAGGTGCCATGGAGGAGTGAGCATTCCCTGTTGACCGGTCACACCTACCGTTTGCTCCTTGTCATGATCAGGAAAAATCCGTCGAGAATTCAGTGTGTAAATAATGGACTAACAATTACATGTAGTATGAAAAACGTCAGTCAGTATTAGACTCAATGATAAATTGTATTTGCTGACAAGGTCATTGTATCGACCACAGAACTTACGAAATAGCTATTATCACTCTTTCAATACTGAAATCATAATTTAATAGGTATGTCTGAAAGATCTATGAGATAAAATTTGGGTGTGACTTTCTGCTGAAAAAAAAGTTATAGTAGTTGTAAGAAAACATTTGAATAAGCCTTTGTATATCTTTCGTGGAATGTTTGTCATATATTTATGTGCCAATAATATTCTGTTTAACTGTTTGTACCATTTTTAGTTTCAAAGCGAGCCCTGGTGACTATTTGATTGTTGGTGCAATGGACTTTGGAACAACTTACTCAGGTTATGCTTTTTCGACTAAGCACAATTATCTTGACGATCCAGCAACAATTCATAAAAGAACCTGGACAGCAACCTCAGGACAACTTCAATCACTTAAAGTTCCAACTTGTGCGTTGTTTACTCCAAAGAAAAAATTTCATTCATTTGGGTATGAAGCAGAGGACGAATTCGTTTCTCTCTCAGAGAATGATGAGCATAAAGACTGGTATTTTTTTAGAAGGTTCAAAATGAAGTTGTACAAAAAAGTGGTAATTATACAAATTTAATTTCTTTCAATGTAAGTTTTCAAATTTACACCTGTATTCGACACAAAGCGGTTTGTTTCAAGCTCATATGGTCGCCCGCGTGGCGCAATGGTTAGAGCGTGTGTTCTAGAGTCGCGAAGTAAGGAGTCAATCCTTGCGTCGCGGGTTCGAATACCACTGTGGGACGTGGAGACCGGTCCTTCGGATGAGACCGTATAAACCGAGGTCCCGTGTCGCAGTAGGTGTTGACACGAAAAAAATATCTCCCTGCTCAATGGCCCGTAGTGCCGAGTATAGGACAAAATTTGCAGCTCTTCACCGGCAAGTGGTGGCGTCTCCATATGAGTGAAACATTCTCGAGAGGGACGTTAAACAATATACAATCAATCAATCAAGCTCATATGATCTTTCTTTATTTTCTCAGCGTCGTCAAAGATATTTGACCTGTTAAGAATTAGTCCCATCCGCATGTCAGCCTGAAAGCAAATGCATTTAAAGTTATAAATTTTCAAAAAGATTTCCTTACTAAGCAATTTATTTGTACAGAACGTATAATGTCATGAAACTACGAGAGTCTTTCAATAAATAATGCAAAATGGCATCTAAGAAAGATTGATTGATTGATTGTATATTGTTTAACGTCCCTCTCGAGAATTTTTCTTTTATATGGAGACGTCACCGTATGCCGGTGAAGGGCTTCAAATTTATACCTATACTCGGCACTCAGGGCCATTGAGCAGTGAGGGTTCTTTATCGTGCCAGTGCCTACTGTTACACGGGACAGACGTTTTTAAGGTCATATCCGAAAGACCCGTGACTTTCACTTCTGATATCGAGCGCTTGGCGAAGTAACAGTCGCTACCTATTTTTACGTCTTAGGTTTGACGCGGCGCCGCAAACGAGAATCGAACCCGGGCCTCCCGATCTCGAAGCGAACGCTCTTCCATTAGGCTACCGTGAACGGTGCATCTAAGAAAGAAAAGCTGCGTATAATACATAGTCTTAAAACAGAGTATTTTCGTTCTCTTAAGTCATTCCCTGTACCCTTAATACATTATAGGTTTTGGTATTCATGTAAAGAAAACTTCATACTCATCTTTAGGGATGCCCAATGAAAATCATTTCCTATTACATATCTGATATCTCGTAAAATCTACCTTTGATTGTTTTTGTGTGTCTTGGGAATAAAAGATCTCACAATGCCTGAGCGATGGAAGAGTTCTGTATACTTTCGTTTCTTCTAAAAGATATTTTTTTTCTTAGCTTACTTGCAACTGTGTTGTGAAGTAAAGGAAACTATACCCTGGTCAAAGATATGTAGACTTTCTTTGCAGGAAATCACTTTAACTTCCCTTAGTGCAATCCAAACATAGAAGAAACAATTGCTATCCTTCGTTTTAATGTTGTCACCCGCAAGGCGCAGTGGGTAGAGCGTCTGCTCTATAATCGCGAAGTAAGGAGTTCATCCTTACGTCGCGGGTTCAAATACATGTACCACTGTGGGACGTGGAGACCGGTCTGGTCTTTCGGCTGAGACCTTAAAACCGAGGTCCCGTGTCGCAGTAGGTGTTGACACGAAAAAGATACCCCCCCCCCTGCTCGATGGCCATCAGTGGCGAGTATAGCACAAAATTTGCAGCTCTCCCCGTCAAGTGGTAGCGTCTTCATATGAGTGAAAATTTCTCGATAGGGAAGTTAAACAATATACAATCAATCATTTTGATGTATGTACATCTTTCAATGTCCCTCTTTAAATACATTAAACTAATAAAAAAAAAGCATTGGAGCCCTTGCTTCTCCTAACCATGATAAAATGACCACCTTTTCTTGGATTCCAAATTTTATATCACATGAGCTGAAAGCTCAAATGAGCTTTTCTGATCACTTGTTGTCCATCGTCCGTCCGTCTGTCCTTCCATCCAAAATCATTTTACATTTTCAAATTCTGAAGAACTACTGGGCCAATTTTGATCAGACTTGGTACACAGTATCCTTGGGTGAAGGGAAGTTTTGATCGCAAAAATAAAAGATGTAGTCAATCCCTTTACAAGGGAAGATAATCAAGAAAAGACAAAATAGGGGGTTTATTAAAAAATATTTTTCTTCTTTAAAACTACTGGACCAGAAAGGTTAAAACCTACGGTGAAGCATACTGGGGTAGTGTACATTTTAAATTGTTGAAATCATAACCAGGGCGGGGCATTAAATGGGGAATCCAAATTTTTCTTTATGAAATATATTGGATTTAAAAAAAAAAAAAAAAAAAAAACCTCAAGAACAACTGGGCCAGGAAATCGGAAACTTATGGAGACGCATTCTTAGATATTGTAGATTATAAATTGTCCAAATCATGACCAAGGAACTTAGGATTTGGCCCCAAACGGGATTCAATGTTTTACATTGTAATAGAGGAATAATCTTTAAAATATTCTTGTTAAGAAACACTCGTCGAGGAAAGCTGAAACTTACATGGATGCATCCTGGGCTAGGGTAAATTCTAAATTGTTTAAATCCTGACCGTCGGAGTAGAGTAGGGACCCAATAGGAATCAAAGTTAACATTGAATTTATAGTAAGGAATCTTGTCACGAAGCATTGGGCCAGGAAAGCTGAAACTTATGTGGATGCAGCCTAGGGTAGTGAAAATTCTAGATCGTCTAAATCATGATCAACGGGCTCAGGGCGGGCCCTCAATAGGGAATCAAATTTTTTCATTAAAATAAATACGAGAAACAATCTTTTAAATCTTCTTCTTAAGAACCACTTGGTCAGCAAAGCTGAATCTTACGTAGAAGGTAGTGTATATTATAATAGATTGTCCAGATCATGGGCCACAATAGGTATTACCTATTGTCCAGGTCATGGGCCACAATAAGTATTACAAGTGGGGAAATCTGATGAAGAACAGCATGACTAACGTTATTTCGGTGAGCGTTGTGACTAGCCGACCTTTTGTTTATTCTTGATCTTTTTTTCGGCTTTAAAAAGTGCACCTTTGTTTTTACCATTCATCAAAATGTTATCAAATCTTGTATTCTTTAAAAAAATATTTGTTTTTGAATAGACCATTTGCATATTAAATGCGTGTTGTCTGTGAGGCATTTGTAAGAAAACAGGCTAATGCAGAGAATCTGCGTTCCCTGAAGGAAAAGGGAAGAGAATGGTCTGACCTTGGAGGGGGGTGTTCGATAGGGTTGGACACTGGAAATGAAGTTTTACATACACACGTACAGAGTCTATGAATTTACTGCCTTGGCCCATGACCTTTTGACATCAAATTCAATAGAGGTCTTCCTTAGACCATAATAACTTGTGACATGAAATGTCTTTGCAAATCTCGTATGCTTCTCGAGATATCACGTAGAAACAAAAGTGATAACACTGACAACAGACAACTGTGAGTTCTGTATAAATGACCTTATCTTTCACCTTTTGAATTCAAAATCAATAGGGATTTTTCTTATGCCATAGGAAGTTATTATGTAGATTTTAATTACAAAAGCTTAAAGGCCTCTCTAAATATCGTTTGGAAAAGAAAGTGTTACAGACAGACAGAAATACAGACAGATAGAACGAGTCCGGAGAAACAGTTAGAGAGCAAACAGACTGACCAAAATTAATATTTTTTGGTATACTTTTTTTCATACAAAAGACTCTTCTGTGATTAAGCTGACAGATTTACCAGCCGACTCTGCTATATAAATACTCATTGCTTTCAAGCAGAATAAAAGAATTCTTGATTTTTAATACTGGATGAAAACATCACTTAAAGTCTAGCAGGTTTATTACACATTCAAAGAGATCGTGTTTGAATTATCTATATTTGGTCCCTTAAACTTCCTTTTTCAGAATTAGTCATTTCTTATTGTCATCCACTGAAAGTTGGGGATATTAATTCCTGTCACTCTAGATCTGTCCATCCGTCCCTCCATCCGTCTGGCTGTTTTTTATTACACTTTTGTTTCCACGCGTGGCGCAGTGGTTAGTGAGTCTGCACTAGAGTGGCGAAGTAAGGAGTTCACCCTTACGTCTCGGGTTCGAATCCCACTGTGGGACGTTCTTCGGATGAGACCGTATAAACTGAGGTTCCGTGTCGCAGTAGGTACTGGAACGAAAAAGATCCTTCCCTGATCAATGGCCGCCGAGCATAGGACATAATTTGCAGCTCTCCACCGGCAAGTACGATACATCGAGAAGCCTTTTGTGATTTTGCAATGAAAATTTTCACAGTTTCCTGTAGCCTAAGGAAGACTACTATTGCTATTGAATGGTCAAAGGTCAAGGTCATAAATTCAAATATTCTGTATGTTATATATTTTCGTTTACACGCGATATCTACAGAATGTAAAACATAGAACTTTTGCAATGACATTTTATACCACAACTCCCTATAGGTATGTCCTAAGAAACGTTTAAAAGTTAAGATCGTGTTTTTATAAAGTGTTGTATTTTGACAGCGTGGATGAAACCGCTGAACTTTGTATAATTAAACATAATCTGATATTTAGACATTCTGCATATGGACAACAACTTCGTGTCAAACGTAAAATCTTCTGACTAAGTTTGCGTTTGCAAAGAGATAATTTAGAACAAAGATATACAAGAAAGTATCATTCTAGTTCAGTATTGTTAACTATGGTTCAATAATATCATAAATCAACGTATCAAAACCAAAATGATAAAATAACAAATCTTAGAAGAGAAGAGATGATTTTGGAAAGATAAATATTATATGGACACTTTCTTTAATCGTGTTCTCCGCAAATGATCATGATCTACATATTTTGTAGACTATAACAGATGACTTTCTGCTGAAATCATCGGACAACAAGACTCTTCCTGCAGTTCTGGTGTTCTCATCAATAATACGTTACTTACGAAACGAAATGTTGAACGATGTTCACTTCATAAACCTCAATATACATTCCTACGCCTTAAGATGGGTCATCACTGTTCCTGCAATTTGGACAGATGCTTCCAAATCTTTCATGCGAAAATGTGCCTTTCAGGTATGATATACGATTATGCAATTACATAGTTTTAATTTCTAAGGTAGCTAAGGTTGTTTTTTCCTTTAAAATATCGTAGCTTTAAATTAAAATAAGGGAAAAAATCATTAAAAATATTTTATCAGTGACGTAAAATATTATATAACCATTAGAAATATTTTTAAAATATAGATTGTATCGTGTGTATTTTAGGCAGGAATTGAAGATGAAAAATTAGTCATAGCACTAGAGCCAGAAGCTGCAGCACTGTACAGCAATTTGGTGTCGATTAAAGATCAAGTTGGAGAGATCAAAATGGTCAATGGGATGAAATACCTAGTTTGTGATGCCGGAGGTAAGAAAAGTTAAATTGAACGATTCTTTAACTTTCAGTTTATTCTATATTGTCCATGCTGTAACAGTTAGATACAGTGACATTATTAGTTAATCAAAATACAAGCAACTCAAAAGCAAGATTATACAGAAACACACTGAGTTGTCATGCATCACTCTGTTATGTAATACGGCATTGGAAATAGTGGCACAGGAAAGGTTATTACATATCAATACATAGGCAAAACAAGCAGATTCAAGGGTTTGTGGTCCCCTGCTTTCGGTGTCTTTGTGGGTGATATGCAATTATATCTATTGCATATTGCGCATTGTGTCAAATATAACCACCCTAATGTCATTCAAGACATTTAACCTTTTTAAAAATTAGTTTCAAACATGAAGGTCAAAGTCAAGAGGTAGGAAATCATATCTTGCTCGGAAATTATGTCGAACGTCAAGTTTAAGGTCATGGGTAAAAAATCATAGTATATTTAGAAAGGTCTTGTCACAGTGTAGATACATGTGAATTTTAAAATACCTTTCTGTTTTCTTTTCAAAGGTATGATCAAAATTAGAGTTTTTGAAAAATTGTTCAAACTTCATAATTAAGGTCAAAAGGTCAAACATCATAGGCTATATTTTATTTAGATTGATTGATTTTATATTTTTCAACGTTCCTTTCGAGAATTTTTCACTCGTATGGAGACGCCACCACATCCCGGTGGAGAGCTGCAATTTTTTTGTTCTATGCTCAGCACTCAGGGCCATTGAGTAGGGAGAGATCTTTTGTGCAAGCACTTACAGCGATACGGATACTCGGTTTATACGGTCTCGTACGATCGCGACCACAGGCACTTGTTTCGATAATAAATTTTTAACCAATAGTATGATAAGATGCGATTTTTATGTATTTGATTTATTTCATCAGAAACGAAGTAGATTCTTAACTATTAGTGCCTTTAATATTTTGGCAAACTACAATTCAGATGTTCATTACCTTGTCTCTATAATTAAAAAATATAATCGACTTAACTGGCTTTCCATTAACTGAAAAGCATGCCATTTTCATTGAATTTCTGCACGTTAACTGTTCCCCTTTCAGGCTTTATACGTTAAAAAGAATATACTTTGCTCAATTAAATTTCTCCATGATTTATATGGTTTTGTTTTTTAACGAAGTTTTTTTTTGGAAAATGTTCTTTTTCACAAATTTGTATAAATTTTCTAAGGTGGAACCGTGGACATTACGGTGCATCAAATGATTGACAACACGGGCCATTTACGAGAATTATACAAAGCTTCTGGAGGGGACTGGGGAGGTACGAAAGTGGATGAAGAGATGGAAATATTTTATGAAAAAGTGGTAGGAAAAGAAGTAATGGACAAATTTAAAGAAGAATATCCAGAAGACGCGTTGGAGTTGTCCAGAGAATTCGAAACCAAGAAAAGGTCCTTTTCATCAACAACAGATAAAGTATCATTCAATCTTCCCGAATCTTTATTGACCGTATATGAAGAATATACTGAGATGAGCTTGTCAAATGATGCAATTATAACAAGTGGCTTAGAAAAATATGCAAAAATATCCGAGGAACGAATTCGCATAAATGGTGATTATTTTAGAACATTTTACGATAATTCTATTTCTCAGATTGTCGGTCACTTAAAAGAAATCTTTGAAGACCCAAACTTAAACGATGTTGGTCTTATTCTACTCGTTGGAGGATATGCAGAATCATTTATCCTGCAAGATGCTCTTGTAAGTTCGTTTCCCCAAAAGAGGTTACTTGTACCAAAAGAGGCAGGACTGTCTGTCCTAAAAGGTGCTGTCATATTTGGTCATAATCCAAGTTTGATAACTGAAAGAAAAGCAAAGTACACCTACGGTGTTAAATGCCGGATTCTGTTCATTGATAAAATACATCGTGAAGACTACAAAATATTTGATGAGGGTGAAATGTGGTGCAGAAATGTATTTCACCGTCATGTGACTATTGGTGACACACTTGTTGTTGGGAAAAACCAATCAGCTAAAACATATACAAAAAGTAAATATTCACGCAGTGTTAAAGTTGAGGTATATGCATCTTTGAAGAAAAATCCGATGTACACTACTGATGAGGGATGCTTTTATCTAGGTGGTAAATCTCTGAAGTTTGAAGACCAAAATGCCTTAAGTGCTAGTGAAATAGAAGTAAAGATGTCTTTCAGTGGTACAGAAATTGAAGTGACAATGATCTATAAAGCAACAGGAAGAATCACAAAGCTCTATCTTGAACATGACAAACAGTAAATATATATTATTTCATTTTTATAGAAGTAATAGATAAAACCAGCTCAAGCACGGAATTAAACTTATAGGGAACACTACATAAAGATTCTACAGACAGTCTACAGGCTAACAGAGAAAAGAAATACTTTATTTAAAATCCCAGAAGATGTACCCCCTCCGTCCCCCTTTTTGTACAAACTTGGAAAATAACAATTTCAGTACTGTAAACCAACTTTTATTCGAGACGACTTTATTTCGCGAATAACCAGAGATAAACCAGTTCGCGAAGATTAATTTGCGCGATTTAGTCTATTGGATCTGTTGTTAATAGATACATATACTTTAAGGACCGGTTCGCGGCGATAAATATTCGCGATGACGAGGCTCTCGCAAACTTTTCACCGATCCTTTAATATAATGGAATAATTATTTATAAATAGATTCTTTTATGTGTCTTTTGTCTTCCTTATGAGGTCATGTCTCAAGAGACTACTTCATCAGTTTAACACTTTTTAGCAAACCTCAGCTTTTATTTATCTTACAAAGAAGATGTACAAGTTTCCCTCTCATAAAATTAGGGTCGCAAAGATTGTTGGAGTAGATTTGAAAAACAATTCTACTCTCTACACATACCATGACTTTAAATTATTGCCTACGTAAAACTTTCAGTGACATCGTAAAAATGTACAACATAAGATTACTTTTCTCTCATTCATATACTACAGTTTGTGAGATACGACCCTGCGTTGCAGATACCAGAGGTAACAGAAGGTTTATATGAAGAGGGGTCACTTTGTATTGTACATCAGTAGGGGGACCAGAGGTCATCTTATATTGCAGGGGCGGATCCAGCAATTTTTGAAAGGGGGGACCAGGGTTGTGTCCCTCTAACACACCCTTACACACTCTCAAGCAAAGATTCACATACACGTATGGACAGATCTGTATAAGGTTGTGGTAAATAATATCTTTGTTTTACGTCCCTTTTTTTCTTTGAAAGCAAAGAAACATATTTCAAAAACTACTGAAGCCTTTAAATTGAATGGATTTGTAGCATTTCCGAGGAGTACAAAGAATTTTCTTTTAGAAATTGAAAAAAAAACCACAAACTTTTGGGGATGGGTGCGGGTTTGGTTTAAAAACAAAGAGTTTCATGTTAGTTCCCATAAAAGATATGATCAAAAACGGTACATATATACCCAACACAGCCAAAGATCATGGGAATCTAATATCAAATTAAACCTCGAATGATACACATTATATACATGCATAAGATATATGAAAATAAGTAGAACGTTTTCTACCATTCTCTCATAAAAAAGGAATAGTGAAGGTGAATGGAAGAAACTTACAAAATGTGTGAAAATCTCTCTAGTTCAATAGATAGATGCGTAGACTTACAAATATGTATTCATGGAAAACATTTCATCTCTATCTCTCTCTCTCTCTCTCCACTTGGCAAAAAATAAAGGGGGATTCCAACCCCCGGAACCCCCCCCCTCTGGATCCGCCAATGTATTGTACATAAGTAGGGCGACCAGAGGTCACATAATATTGTAAATCAACAGGAGGACCAGAGCTCACCTTATATTGTACATAAGAAATGGGCCAGAGGTCACCATATATTGTACATCAGTATGGGGAACAAAAGTCACCATCTATTGTACATCAGTTGGGGACCAGAGGTCACCTTATATTGTACATATGTAGGGGGCCAGAAGTCAAATTCTATTGTACATCAGTAGGGGGACCAGAGGTCACCTTGTATTGTAGATCAGTAGGGGGACCAAAAGTCACCTTCTATTGTACATCAGTCGGGGACCAGAGGTCGCCTGATATTTTACATCAGTAGGCGGACCAGAAGTCACCTTCTATTGTACATCAGTCGGGGACAAGAGGTCACCTTGTAAATGCCATTAGTGAGGGGACTAGAGGTCAACTTGTAAATACCATTAATAAGGGGACTAGAGGTCACCTTATATTTTACATCAATAGGGGAACCAGGGGTAACCTTTTATGGAGCATCATTTGAGGAACCAGAGGTCACCTTATACTGAATATCTTAAGGGGGACCAGAGGTCACCTTATTTTGTCCAATAGACGGGGGGGGGGCAGATTTAGGGGGGCCAGAGGTCATCATAAGGGGGATCAATAGTTAACTTTTATGTGCAACATAAGAGGGGGGGGCAGAGGTCACCTTATTTTGTCCAATAAGGGGGGGGGGGGCAGATGTAGATGTCACCTTATGTATACATCAATAAGGAGACCAGGGTATACCAGAGATCGCCTTATATGTACATTATTTGGGGTAAAAAAGTCGACATATATTGTTCATCATTAGAGGACCAGAGTTAACCATATATTGTACATCAGAAGTGGGGATCAGAGGTTACCTTAAATTTTACACCAGAGGTCACCTTGTATTTATCATTAGTAGGGGTATCAGAGGTCACCTTATATTGTATATTATGAAGGGGACAAGAGGTCACCATATATTGTACATCAGTACGGTGACTAGAGGTCACTTTATATTGTATATCAGTATGGGGACCAAAGGTAACCTTCTCTTTTACATCAGAAGGTGTACCAGATGTCACCTTGTGTTTAACATTAGTAGGGGGACCAAAGGTCACCTTATATTGTACATCAACGATCAACGATTCTATTCTAGACTCGTATTAACTAAGAGAATTCTCAATAGAAAATAAGGGCGAACTAGAGGTTGTAGATAAAATGCATATTAACAGGATAGCAGAGGTTCTCTTGTAAGAATACGATAAGAGGCAAGTGGGTCATCTGAACATTCTTTACAACATTTTGATAAAAGCACCGTTGCTCATCATAACTATATACTAAGCATGCTTAATATGGCTAAATTAGAGCGCCACCCCTAAATGGTAATCATAAGCCAGGGGCCTTGCATGAAATTTATAATTCTGAAAGGGGATCCCTTGTTAACAATAACCAAATGTAGATACATGTAGTTTAATTCATAGCGAGGAACAGAGAAGATTTTTTAAGGAATTAATGTATTTTAATTATACAACTTTTATAGCCCCACCCTAACACCAGAGCCCCTGACCCTTGGGTCATGAATTTCAGAACTTTGGAGAAGACATCCTTTTTCATCATAACTATGCATGTAGTTAGTTTGTTAAATAACCCAGAGCAGAGGAGAATATTTTCAAAGAATAAAAGCATTTTACAATATCATTTTTATAGCCACGTCCTAACCCCAGAGCCTCTGACCCTGGGACAATGAATTTCACAATTTGGGCAGAGGAGTCAATTTGTATGATAATATTGCCAACAGTTTTACGGCTTAATGTTAATGAGTAAAGAAGATTTTTAAAGATTGCATCAATTGTAGTGGTTTCGCCCCAACCTACAGGGAGATTGCACGGAGAAGCTGAATATTATCGCACAATGCATAGCACATGACACCAGAAAAATCATATAGCAATAAGTCAGATGAGTTGATTCAGGTGACCAAATAAGGAGTCTTTTGGTCTGAATATTTATGTAAAATATTAGGTGTCTTCTGGTTTCCCTCTTGGCTTACAATGTAATGTGACCTCTGTTCTTCTTATTAATGTAAAATATAACGTGTCTTCCGGTTTCTTCATTGTTGTTCAAAATTAATGTGATCATTAGTTTTAATTATGTACAATTATAAGGTGACCTCTTGTTCCCCTAATAATGTTAAATATAAGGTCTCCCTACTGCTGTAAAATTTAAGTTAACCTCCGGCCCCCCTTCTGATGTATAATAAAAGGTGACCTCTGGTCCCCGTAATGATGTACAAAATAAGGTGACCTCTGGTCTCCAATCTGATGTACAATATAAGGTGATCTCTGGTCCCCCTACTGATGTACAATATAAGGTGACCTTTGGACCCCCTACTGATGTAAAATATAAGGTGACATCTGGCCGCCCTTCTGATGTACAATATCAGGTGAACTCTAAACCCCCTTATGATGTTTAATAAAAGGTGACCTCTAGTGTCTCCATACTGATATACAATAAAAGGTGACCTCTGGTCCCTCTTCTGATGTACAAAATAAGTAAAGTGACCGCTGGTACCCCTAATCATGTACAATAAAAGGTTTCCTCTGGTCCCCCTACTGATGTACAATACAAGGCGTCCTCTGTTCTCCCTACTGACGTAGAATAAAAGGTGACTTCAGGCCCCCTAATGATGTGCAATAATAAAAGCTTACCTATGGCCCGCATTAATTTAAAATATATAGAAAATGTAAGTTGACCTATAATCTCTCTAATGATGTTCAATATAAAGTGTCCTCTGGTCCTCCTACTGATGTATAATATAATGTGTCCCCTGTTCTCCCTACTGATGTACAATAAAAGGTGACCTCAGCCCCCCCCCCCCCCGAAATGAAGTGCAATAAAAGGTAACCTATGGCGCCTTATTATTACCAATATATTGAAAATGTAATGGCGACCTATGATCCCTCTAATGATGATCAATATAAGGTGACCACTGGTCTCCCTACTGATGTACGTATACCAACCAAGGTGACCCCTGGTCCATACTGATGTACAGTATAAGATGACCCCTGGTCCCCCTAATTACTGTCACGTTTCTGTCAATATATTTCTGAAAGTAGAAAGTTATAAATATGATCATTTAGGAGTCAGACAAAGAAAAATGTTTATTATATATATAAAATTCAATCAATTTATAAGGTGACTTGAGGTCTCCGTATTGATATCGATTAAAGGCTTTTTGTGCCTTTAATGCCTGAAAAGTTCCTAAATGTTTTATTTTTACGCAAAATGACGTACTATGAGATTGCGGGGGACCCGAGGTCCCTTTTGGGCGTACGATTTATCCTTCTACCAGGAGCTTGGGTCTTGGTTTATAATAATGATTGTATTTGATTGATATGTAAAAAAAAAACCTTGTAATAATCTTTTGATGTATTTTCACAACTTTGGTTTTATCAATGATTTACCATTATTTAAATGACCATTCACACGAAAGTTTTTTTAGGTTCATG